CAAGAATTTGATGACTTGGTTACCGCTCTTTTGATGTCTTCTTCACATGCAGTCAAATGGCGCCCATGATATATTGTCAGATGAAAAGCCTGTTTCCCATCTCTTCCCCCTATACCTGCTTCCTGTAAATGGCTGGTCAAGTTGCGAGATGGACCATAATGTACTACATATTGTACATGTGGAAAGTCTATGCCCATACTTAAAGATGTTGATGCAAATACCAATCGAACATTTCCACCTAATCCCTCAAATAAAGAACTAACACTTTCCTTGTGATTCTTTGGCGTTTGAGAATAATACACTCCCAATAATAAACAACGTTCATGCGCCGGTTCCTCACCGTCTGTGTAAATACCAGAGGTCTCCAGTCGCATCAAGAAATGTGTTAACAATGAAACAATGTCATTAACTGTTCTACAAAAAATAATAGTGAAAGGTGTTTCTCCTTTTCTCTCCAGCATAAGGTGTATCAGCCAGTCAAAGCAATGGAGTTCCTTATCAGCACGTAAGACAGTAAATCTTAGATTGTTCTTATTTGGACTGACAACTATATGCTCAATTCTCTTCATACCAAGGTATTTGGCTAAACGGTTACGCATTTCCTCATTTGCAGTTGCTGTTAATGCAAGAACAGGTGTGTGCATAGCAAGAAAAGATCTTAGCTCTGACAAACGCCCAAAAGCCTCCCGGAATGCTGCTTTTCCTTTTTTTCCAATTCCCCTAAATAAAAAAAAAATATATTCAGTCATATTATAACAATACATATCAATTCGCATATTGTTAAATATATATGAAGATTACTGTGGTTGCTAAGATAGTCATGTTGTATTTTTCAGGTAGACTACCTTTAAATATAAATCAAACGTGGTGGTGCCAGTGTGGCCATGCAGGCCCATGCTATAAATAATTTAGTTATAATTATCACAAAAATGCGAGCAACATACCACGTTTCAATTGTATGTACTTCGTCCACTACCAATACTTTAGACTGATGTAAACCACCGTACTGTAGGCATTTCTTCCATCGATTATTGAGCCATTGTTCAGCACCACCGTAAACGATATTATATTTGCCTTCCGGCATTTTTTTGTCGTTCTCTTCTGATTCACCGATCGCAGCTGCACGTACTCCACACATGGTCTTTGCCACATTTGCAACCTGCTGTTGCCTAATATACTCCAGAGGACTAACTACGACAATCATAAAATGCTTCATCTCGCCCGTTTCAAGCAAGTGCAAATTTTGGTAAACAGTCGGAAGAAGTTGGTACACAAGACTTTTCTCAAAACCAGTAGGTAAAACCGCAAGGACATCTTCACCACAATAGATTAGCCTTCTGATGCATTCTTGCTGTTCTGGTTTCAGAGTATGACATTTTATATCACTCACAGTCTTACTTAAAGCTTTTAAAAATATATTCATTCTACTTTCCGACGCCATGTTTTTAATACACTAGCTCAGCCTGGGCATGGGAAGAAACCGGAAATTATTAACTAATGAAAACCAATCAAAACAAGCTATTTTAATTTTAATTTATTCTGACCAATCATAGGAAAATACCAATATTTGGTATGAATGCGCACGGTCTAATTAACATTTGTATCAGGCTTTTCTTTCCTCTCCCTTTCCTCCCCGAAAAGCCTGATCGCAGGTTAGTTTCGCCTTTGGGATATGAAAAGTTCGAAAGACCTCGACAGTTTTTTGGAAATTTTCTCGAACGCTTTCCTCGCTGTCACTTTGCACACAAACTAAAGCTAAATAGGCAAAAATGCGACCAAAGCTTGTCATAGGAGATCTCGATGTTGGTCGAGAACTAATTGCATTTATATGAAACGATAAAGTCTGCTTATCGATATCGATTTCATTTTGTCTCAACTCGTCAAAAATTATATTTATATTATCATCTCAGCAAAAAAAGTCTCACCATAAAGGTTAAAAGGCAAATGAGAAATGTAAGTGATTTAGCTCAATAACATATACAGGAAGAAAGACAACACATTCATGATGATAAAACAATTTATTTCGCTTTGAATACAGTTATTCATATTTCATAAGAAATTCTTCATACGATTCCTTAGCATTAATGTTGGTACTAGCTAGTGAATGTTTCTCCAGTGTGTTCATTCTTGTATCGATATTGTAGCGGATCACTGGATAGGACGAAGCCAGTCTTGGTCACACGAGGCTCGATCTCTTTGCATTCGAAAAATCCACAGCTGTTTATTTGAGCGCAACAGTAAAACAGGCGGTTCTGGGTGGGTCCTTCATTTTTCACTTTACGTATGATGCATACTATTCCGTGCTTGCAGCGTGGTCGAGGGCTTTCGCATACATCCCCTCATTGCCAAAAAGTTGCAAGGATCATGTCGATCTGCACACACAAAAAAGTGTCTTCCATAATTATCTTTCATTTTATCTTTCACAATGCGTAATTTGGCCGATCTCTGGTGTGTTGGGCAAATGGGATGATTTGACCCTCTATTTTGACAGGCTTCCATCGCTCTCGTAAACAGATAACAGTCTTCGTCATGGCAAAAGAACTCGCAGCTCGGTGTTTCGCTACAAAACCAAAACGTACCACGAACAGTTGTAGAACAAGCAGCTGATTTACAGAGAAAACATCCATCGTGATTGTTGAATACAGACTATGCGTGCGAAAGGACGCTAGCTGTATTTATAGTGATGTTACTCTATTGTGATACTAATTGGTCGCGTTACCTGTCACATTTGGCCCAGGCTTGCCCAGCAAAGTGACGTCATAGCTTTTGCACACTAATTACTTCCGCCGCCATATGTTTTTTTTACTACTAGTGTCCCGGCCCACTCTAAATAACTCTATATAAAAAGTGCCAAATTGTTATTTAGTTTATTCAGTTAAATATCAATAGATTGAAATGATTTTATAATCCTGAATAAAATAATAAAAATAAAAAAAATAAAATATTATCAAAACATCAATATGGATTTAGGGAAAAGAGGTCGACAGAACGTGCACTAATTGACTTTATTGATAAAATTACCAAAGCAATTGACGAAGGAAAATACTCAATTGGTATTTTCTTTGATTTATCTAAAGGCGTTTGATACAATTTGTCACAAGATTCTGATAGGGATCTTGGAACATTATGGTATCAGGGGAGTGGCTAAAGATTTGTTTGAAAATTATTTAAACAAAAGAAAACAAATAGTGAAATATAATGGAGTACAATCTGAGGAAATGCCTTTGTATATCAGATACAGATCGGTTTCTGATCATGTTTTATCTAGTACATATTCCTGTAATAATGTACAATATCAAAATTGTATTGTAAATATACATCCTAACTATTTTTAAATATTATTAATAAGGCCTACTCTGGGTAAATCGCCTTAAATCGTCTTAAATGGCATTAAATGGCGGGATAAAATTGTCGAATTTCTCTCAAATCGCCTAAAATCGCCTAAAATCGCCAACATGCATTCTGTTTGATACATTCAGTCCATGTACTCAAGTTTATCAATTGCTGCTATTTTACGGGCAAATCATGTAATCCAGGTGCTTTGGAATCAAAAGTAATGCAACATGCATTAGCAATCAAATAGGCACCGGTCATTGACAAAAACAGAGCCTTTTTCTGCTTTATGCAGACTTTACAATAATTAGGTAATTCTGGGATCTGAAAGACCCATAGATCCCATACACTACCAGCAACAAAATTGAGCTAGTTACCAGAATGAGTTAATTTCATTATTGGTGTAAATGGAGGCTGGGCTACAATATATATGGACTATGGAGGCTGGGCTACAAATTAATCTATAATCTACATGGCTTCTCAAAGCCTAATTGATGTTAATCAGAACAGCAGTAGGAGACAAGGAAAGTCAATTAGTACGAGTGTTGATTTATATAATAGAGTCATCCTGTACTTTGTGCACTGTTGCATGTAACATCGAGCACTGCATTGTATACAATGGTTGTACTTCGACATGTGCATGGTTATACTCTAGCTCCTAGTTATAATTATAGTGGCTATCAAACGAAAAATATACGTGAGGTTATGAGCGATTTGCAACTCTCATCAATTAAATTTACCAGACCTGTATATACAATAAACAGCAAAACAATGATTACATCGTACATACCATACAATAGATCTTTTGTTGTTGTTGTTTGTTTGCAGAACCTAAAACCATGACGTAGTGCGCCATTTGTTTAACAATGTATTATTTTGTTTTTAATTTTAAAATAATTTAGAAATTAGAATTCCTACCTTTTATAAACGATATATTTCATGTAATTTAAACATTACGGCATTATGCCGACAGTTTCCAAATGCGTGGCGATACTGTTTCTGGATATGGCACAGGGATATATTATAGATATCAATAATTTTATAAAACATGTTCGTAGCATGAAGAAAGCTCGAGATTGAAACAGTTTAAAGAAAATGCAAGCTAAATAAAGACGTTTCGACATGATAGAAAACAAGACAATTTCACTTACAAGGGTGACAAGGTAATTTATAGGATTATAGCTTATTCAGTTATACTGTATAAATACATTTTGTGTTTCTCTTGTGGTTTTTTTGGAAATCAAATATTTATTATATTTTGCAATTTTAACTCGACATAAATTAATGATATTAAAGTTTAAGCCATGTGTAGTGCATGCCCCTTAAGTAGAGTATATTAACTGTTTACAATATTTGTGGTATATAATGTAGCCATGAATGACAACATGACCCCACAAGATGAACCCCAATGGCTTCTAAATAGAGAATGGGTGAAAAATTCATGAATATTGAGCTTTATATGTGAATCAGGTTAAATACAATAATGAGTTAACCTAGCTTTATATAAAATGTACATACATGTTCTAATAATTGTATTTTGCTTCATACAATGCATATGTGTGTGGAAGATTACATTATTATTCAGCTCACTCCCCACATTGAGGCTTTTCAGTGACCGATTACATCATGTACTATGATTACTTACGTTAACCTAGACTATTTATCTTTACAACAATGAGAATATGATATTACTTTCCTATCTGTGTTTATATCCTAACCCACCCTGCCAATTTTGCCTTGTGGGAGGAAATCGGAGCAAAATATAAAATTCAATTCCTTTGAAAACACCTAAATTGCAATCCCTAAAATATAATTTTTTTCCTTAAATCGCCTAAAATCGCCCAAAATCGCATTATATTGCAGCGATTTAAGGCGATTTACCGCCTCAGAGTAGGCCTTTAATATATCCTTTGACTTTGTATTTTCTTTAAAAAAAAATATTCGAACTGACATTATATTAATTATTAATTATTTTTAATTCATAATCTAGGGGTCTAAATAAAAGCCATATGGTTTCTAGTAGGCCCCTAGCCCACACTTGTAAATATTACATAGCACTATATTATCTCATGTAATGTTTTGGGCGAACTTAAAAAAAAACAAAAAAAAACTTCTATTGAAACTGGGTGAGTTATACGTCAGAACATATAGTAACCATTCTTCGAAACAATGTACTGCGGTACATTATATTCAATCATAACATATATCCTGATCCAATATATTTTTATAGATACATCCTGCACGGTTTTGAAATCTAAGTATCCAAATCTTCCGAATGGGTCTTATTTCGTAAACCCTCGAGGACAAAGTTTCCACAACTTTTCAGTGTATTGTGATATGACAACAAAAGGTGGGATTGGAGTTACAGAGATTAGTCATGATAGTGAGGCAAGGATCGAAGTACTGAAATGTTTTTGGTGCAAGAACCTACCACAGGAATGTGAGATATGAAATCAACATGGAGAAAATCGTTGCCATAATTAATACGTCAAAATATTGTGAGCAGTTTATCAAGTATGATTGTCATTTCAGTTGGCTTCTACGTAAAGATTATGGATGGTGGGTATCACGTCAAGGTAAGAAGATGAACTACTGGGGCGGAGCAGCAATCGACAGTGGAAAATGTGCCTGTGGGATGACCAATAGTTGCAAGAGTGACTGGCCTTCGAGAGCAACTGCGACGCTTGGCTATTTTATTTCAACGAGGATAGTGGATTTCTCAACGACACCAACACATTACCCGTGACACAATTATGGTTTGGAGATACAGACGGGGACAACGAGTTTGCTTTTCACACTCTTGGAAAAATACGTTGTTGGGGCGAGAAGTACTGATGGCCAAGTTACTCACCGATAAAGAAACCATTTCAAATTATTTAGCACGAAAGAACTTAAAAAGTAGATAACTGTTCAGTTTGAAGTCCTTATTTTTTATTATTATTATTATTAAAGGTTTATTAAGAAACACATTTTGGCACCCGAATGTGAATTGCAATATGCTTACAGAAACATAATAAAGGATAAATATCGAATAATATAAATATAGATATATCGTATATGTACAGTTGTTAAAATACTACAAATTATTTACTATTAAAATTAGCAGTC